AATATTACTGGAGTATTGTGTCCAAGGTACTATAATTTGAACTTGACTTGAACAGAAACTTAATCAATAGTCAGTTTTCCAAAAGCTACCAATTACAGGTGCTTGTTCAATTTTTGATTCCAATAAAAATTTACAGGCAGATAGGACTGGCAAAAATATACATTTCCATTTCATTATTACTAATTGGATTAAAATATTTTCATATTCAATTGTGTGTTTTTCAATCGTATCGTATAAATGCTAAATGATATTGTTTTCCCATGAAATTTAATGAATAATTTATTTATTATTATAAGCATTTTAAAAATATTATTTCAATTGAAAATTTTGATTGTTGGTAATCTTTAAATTATTTAAATTATTATGTACATATGTATGTCGATGAAATGAAATAAAAATTTGTAATATTAAATATTCTAAATTCATCCTTGAAAAATTGATTTTGCATAAATGCGGCAGCTTATATTATTTATAAAATTTACGGTTTATGCAAATTTTTATAAATTTATCAAATTAAATCAGTTTTTTTAATTTTTAAAATTCATTTCAAAAGGTTTTGCATTTACTTGGGTTTGGTTGAGAAGATTATTATTCATATGTGAATAAGTTAATATAAAATATTTATTTGAAAAAAAAGCATTCAACAGAAAATAAAAAGCAGAAGCGTTTTTTCTGTAATGACTTTTAGTTTCCAACTTGAGGTGATTCTGAAAAGAAAAAAAATTAGAAAAAAAGAAACATTTTTTCTATATTTTGCAAATTTTTAACATTTATTATTAATTTTTACATATCGCATTGCGCACAGTATGAGAGATAGTAGGACTGCACTAAATTTCACATGCAAAGCTCTTATCTGTTACAAAATTTATTAGTTTCCCATTCTTTAGTCAGAAGGTACATTCGAGCACATTAGTTTCGGCGAAATCGAGTACTCGTAGTATCGATTATACTCGTATAATTCTAAAATTTCATAATGTTATGTAAAACCTATTGTACATAGAACTAAAACCACAAATAACTTACTAATAAACCATTTAATTGAATTTATATTATTTTGAAAATAACAACATGCCATTGGTTATTTGCTGGAAAAATAAAATTTTTTACAATGTATCAATGTATAAAGTACATGATCAAAACGTATGAGTAAACGTATTCTTACTAAATATCATTCCAAAGTTGAGATTTCAAATTGTTATTTTGATAAAATAATAAAATGAAAGTATCTTTGTTGTTTCCAGTTGGGTATGAACCGAAATTATTATATTAAAGTGAAAAGTTATTCTATCTTATTAAAGGAAAAAGAAAAAAAATTTCGGTTCATCTTAAATAAATCTTTGCAATCACACCCTTGGTTATGAAAGATAATGAATTGTCTCAATATTTTTAAAATTTAAAATTCCGGAGAATTGGGATAACTGAAAACGTGATAAAGATGTATTAGTAAAATATATCCCTCAAATTTTTTTTTAAATGAAGCTTTAAAAAGAAAAATAAGATTAGCTTTAGAAAGAAAACTTTATATTATGAAAATGGGAAGCTAAATAAAAAAATAATGTTTTATTTTACCCCAGCTTTCTGTAAATTTCATATCGAAGTTTCAGAGTAAATATAAATTGATATTGCATTATGCTCATGTCGTATAAAAATTTCTTAAGTGAAATGATAAAGTAAAATGATTAAGTGAAAAATGAAAAATTGCTTTACTTATTTTAACCTTGAAATAGTTTTTTCGGATGCTTGAAGTATTTTTTTACCGACCGTATTGTGTAAACAATAGGTAGGTTATGTGATGGCAACAAATTTTGCATATCGAATTTTCGATGGGAACGTACTTCTCCATAGTAGGGAAGTGTAAATAAACTATTTTTAGCAACCTGTCGGTCTGTCCGTCTGTCGGTCTGTCGGTCTGTCGGTCTGTCGGTCTGTCGATCTGTGTGTGCACGCGTGTATCTCAAGTTCGGCTGAACCGATTTTGATGAAATTTTATATGTAAGTTTGTTTCCACCATGGCACGGATCGATCAACTTTTGGTATATATCAGGCCTCGGGAACTGCACTTTTTAGCGGGCCTGTTTTACATTTTTGAACATTTTCAAGAAAATATTCAACCGATTTACTTGAAATTTTATATATAAGCTCAGCTCGAACGTCCGCAAAAATTCGCATGTTTTGGAAGAAATCAGGCATCGGCAACTAGACGTTTACTACGGGCCAAACATACACTTTTGTGTATATAAAGAGAAATAATCAACCGATTTCATTGAAATTTAATATATGAATTCCTAACTGGTGAGCATTTCAGGGAATTAGGGTAGCACAAAGCGAAACTCTACTAAGAGCCAAATTTACATTTTTCTAAGTATGTTAACTATAAGCTTACTAATGTCCTAAAAATTGGAAAGAAGTATTTAACAGACATTTTTATAATATTCTGTAACGCTTTCATTTAACTAGACAATACACAATGCGGTCGGTTATGTGCTGACCACTTCAGATTTTTTTCTTTGCACGGTATAAAGTAAGTAAAAGATGTGTGATATTTCCATGGCGTGTTTTACTCAGTTTTAGTAATAAACGAGTATTAATATTTATTTGAGTTATTTCGAATTTATTTATTTAAAATAGATTTGCACGATTCTTGTATTGAAATAGATTTTTGTAAACAGATCCTTCACTCTGCTTTTTCATCATATTATTATAAACAATAACTTTCAAAATCCTCTGTAAACATAATATACAAGTATTGGACAAAAATGTATACATACATACACAAGATTCATTTAATTTGGGAACACTACAAAAATTATTTTTAATATTACTTTATTTGTATACATATATTTGAAACCTTTTTCCCAATTCGAATTTATTAAGAATGGATTAAATGAAAATGGAATACATACACGGATTTGAGAGGATGCAATGTGAGTGAATAAAATGAAAACCCCAATGAAAAATTTAAGAAAAATCAATTTGGATTTTATGTGCCATACATATTTTGTATAAGTAAGAAATAGAAAATGAAAAAAAAAATCAGTTTATAACTTTTAGCATTTTATTCGATTTAAAGGTTAGTCACGGTATGGATCAGACAACTATACTATTTTTTAAATTAATCTAGTTTTACTTTAACCCTTTTTTATAAAATTTTTCTTTTAGTTATAAAATTTTTTGTGAAATATTTTTAGTGATGACAGTCATAAAAAAAAACTAATTATGTCACGTTTTCTATTATTCAATGTCTTGCAGATCCGATATAAGCACATATTTCTGTTTGCTCGTATTAATATTATTTGTGGTTATAAGGACATAAGAAGTCCTTAGTATTAAAGCAATATATTATTTATATATTGTATGTACTTTAAATATTAAAAATGTTTGGTTTGGATCATAGATTGTATAGATACAGCTAAAGTCTACATAAACATGCAATATATTTGATCTTTTATTATTGTATATTAAAGGAGTTTTCGTAGAAAATTGCTCCCAAATTCGGCTCTAAATTCAGCTGGAGTAGGATCAAAGCAGTTTCACGAAAAGTATTTTTGGTATTGTATCGTTTATTTGAAGTTCTTTTAGTATAATAAGTTTAGAACAAGCAATATGTTGTTAGTTTATTTTTAAGAAGTTGATAGTCTTTGTTTATTTTATAAATTGTGATATTAATTTTTAATCAGTTTCGATTTTGAAATAAACAAGTACTTTGTTTTTTTGTGTATTTCCGGTTATTTAAAGTTTTGTTCTTAAGAATACCAAATTGAATTTCGGCAAAATATCTGGTTGATAAAACATTTCCAAATAGAGTTGAGTTGTTTTCCATGTGAAAATGAAAATTTTGAAAACAAGAAACTAGTTACATAATATTTCGAATTGGAATGTGTCGGAAATATTATTTTGTGTAATATATTACCGTTAATTTTTACAAAGTTTAAAAAAATAAAATAATTGTAGAACTCTTATTTTTTTTTTGTGCAAAGAGCTGACACCATTTTCTGTTTACGATTATTTACAATATTAGGTTGATTTAAATTATATTTGAGTCCTTTTTTTTTACTACCTTACCAACCATAGTGACAATTTAGATAATGATTGTCTACAAAGCGGAAAAAAAGGATATTTTTTTTAACGATTATTAGAATGATTTAAGTTTTTATTCCTATTTCCTTTTTTTCTCAAATAATCTTGAATTAAATCGATGTGTAAGAAAAGGTAAAATGTTTTTTTTTTCACTTCAATGTAGGATATTAGAAAACTTCGAAGGACACTTTTTATTTATAAAGCACAGAAAAAAAATATATTATGTGTGTATGTATACGATATTGACGTGTACATACATACATATATTTTTAATATTATCGCAATGCTGTCAATAATTTTTATCATGCGGAAAAATATTTTTTTTCTCGCCAGTTTCTTTTTAAGAGAGTTTGTTATGTTAAAAATTTTTATATTTGAATTTAAATGTTATGACGTATCGGTGTGTGTTTGTAGGTATCAATATAAGTGTGGATTTGTGTGTATATATATTTCTCGCTAAATTGCTTCGATTTGCACCTTAACACGTTTTTTTCGGCTTTTTGCTATTATTTTGATTTGATTTTATTTTAAACTTGTTCTTGTAGCTTTATGTGAGTTGAATTATAAAAAAAAAACATAAAATAAATAAAAAACTCACATCCTTTTAAGCAAGTATGGAAAAAAAAAGTTTAATACAAGTTATTTTTATTTTTTGCCTTAAAATATTTTTTTTTAACATTCAAAACGTTTAATTTAAGTAGCGTTAATAATCACGACATTTTAATATCAACTTAAAATACTCGGTATTAAAAATTTTCATGGACGCATAGAGACATTCGGAATCATTACAAGTTTTATTAATGATAATAATAATAATATTAATAGTAATGATAATAATAATAACATTAATAACAATAACAATAATATTTGCAATGACAATAACAGTAATAATATTAATAATGATGTTGTTATTAATCACAATAATGATAATAACAATAAGGTTAGTGTGAGTATCAATAATATAAATGATACGAATACCAATAACAACAATGATAATAACAATAATATTAATAATAATAATAATCATAATAATATCAATAATAATAGTAATGATATTAATGGTTATCGTAATAAGAATAATGATAGTAATAATATTAATAGTGATAATGTTATTAAAAATAGTAAGAATAACTATCCTAATTTTGTTCATGGGGGTATTTTCACGGGTTCTTCTTCTGTATCAGCTAGTGGACAGGCATCTTGCATTTCTAGTAACCCAGCTATTCCTGTAAAATCGTTTTCGGCGCCTGTAACTCAAAGTATTGCCAACCCGCTTCTTCCTCCTATAGTGCGTATGACAAAAAAAGCGGCTGAAGAGGGCGACAGCGTTTACGTATTATCGCGATTTAGAGATCGAGCCGTGTATTACAATGTGAGACTTTTCCTTGCTTATTTACATGATGCCTCTGACAATGTTCATCATGAAGGTAAAACTAGGATAAGTGTGAAAGTTTTTATTGAGAGTGAGGGTCTTCCTACTGAATATGCACGTTTATCTAAATTATTCAGAAAATTTCACGAGACTCTAGATGTATCATCTCTTCAAGTTGACAAAGACTTAGAAACATACAGGAATCATATGAAAAGTAGGTGGGTTGAATACATACAACGAATGAGAGATGCAAATTATAGATTTTTTCGTTCCTCCGACTCGACGTAATAACTCTAACCTAATCCATCTGACTGATTCTGGTAATAGTTCAACAAGGTTAATAAACCAGCTTTCGTTATATTACCAGAACGTAAGGGGCCTTAGGACTAAAACGAACGAAATCCATAAAAACTCTTTGTTGCTGGACTTTGATGTTTACTTATTGTCTGAAACATGGTTGCATAATTCTATTGACTCATTAGAGTTGTTTGATCACTCTTATGTGGTCTTTAGGAAAGATAGACTTCTTACGGTTTCTGACAATGTAAACATACCCAAGGGTGGAGGAGTTCTTATAGCTTTGAAAAATATCTTTAACGCGTCTGAAGTTAATTTATCTCAATTCCCATCTTTGGAAGTAGTTGCTATTAAAATTCGTTTTGCCAAAAAGTCCTTGTTTTTTATTTGTTGTTATATTCCTCCTAACTCTTCGTGTGAAACTTATCACAATTTAGTGGAGGCTGTTGATTACATTTCGTCTCTGGCTAATGCAGAGGATGACTTAATTATCTGTGGTGATTTTAATTTACCTCATATTTTATGGAAATCAGTCGATGAGGAAAATTACATGACGCCAGCTTATATATCTTCTATTGCTGAAGCAACACTTATTGACGGTTTTAATTCTTATGATTTACAACAAATTTCCAACACTTTTAATTCTAGTGGTAGAATGCTTGACCTTATCTTTACTTCTGATTGGGTTAATGCCTTTCACTATCCTATTTTCACGCCTTTAACTAAAATTGACAACTATCACCCTCCGATAGGATTTAGCTATAACTATGATAGTCCTATAAACTCTCAGCATAATATATCATTTGGATATAATTTTTCTAGAGCTGATTTTGTAGGTCTAAATAATTATTTCTTTACGGTGGATTTCGAGACATTACTTTGTAATGTTCCTATTGACGAAGCAGTAAAGAAATTTTATGATGTCGTTTTACATGGTTTTGACATGTATGTTCCTAAAACGCGTAATAAGAGTATTGATTCAAGTCCGGTTTGGTTCTCAATTGAGTTGAAAAAATTGAGAAATAAAAAGAATAAGGCGTGGAGAAAATATGTTAAGACTCAGAGCTCTGAGTCTTATTCTACTTTCATAAATTTATTTTATTCATTTAAACGTTTGTGTGAAGTGAGTTATAGTAATTATTTGTCAGGTTGCTCTTTGGAATTAAAGCAAAATCCCAAATCTTTCTGGAAGTTTGTTAATTCTAAAAGGAAATCTGATCAATTTCCAAACTTTATGACTTATGGTAATCAAACTACAAATGATCCACAAATAATTTCAGATTTATTTGAAAAATTTTTCTCCAGCGCTTATTCGAATAATATTTTTAACATCAATCCGCAAAATTTTGACTACTTTCCCAACTACATTGGTCAACCCCTCCCTGAAATAGATCTATCGTCAACTAAAGTTTGTTCTTATTTGGAAGCCTTAAACAATGATTGCTTTCCGGGCCCTGATAATATTCCTGAGATTGTTTTAAAACAATGTTCTCGTGTCTTATCAAAGCCAATTTCAACTTTATTTAATAGATCTATTTCTGAGGGTACTTTTCCTAGTTGGTGGAAAACCTCTTTCATACGACCGGTGCATAAAAAGGGAGAAAAAAAGAACATTGAAAATTACCGTCCTATAGCTAAGCTTTCTAGCATCCCTAAAGTATTTGAATTAATGGTTTATGACGTAATCTACAATTATTGCTCAGAATTGGTAGTGCCAAATCAACATGGGTTTTTAAAAATGAAATCTACAGTTACTAATCTTGTTGAATGTAGTTCTAAATTTTTAAATACGATGGAGGCTGGATCCCAGACGGATGTAATTTATACTGATCTGAGCAAGGCTTTTGATTTACTACCACATAATGTAGTACTTTTTAAGCTAGAAAAGTATGGTTTTCCTCCTTTTTTCATTAAATGGATTGGTTCTTATTTGTGTAGTAGGAAATATGGAGTTATTTTTCGTTCATGTATCTCCAATTACTTTGTTGCAAATTCGGGTGTACCTCAGGGTAGTCATTTGGGGCCTCTTCTTTTCATTATTAGTATTAATGATGTAACACGCGTATTAAAACACAGTGATTTAAGTATCTATGCTGATGATATGAAAATTTACAGAAGAATAGACTCCGCTACTGATACCTTGCTCGTACAGCGGGACCTGGATTCTTTTGCTAATTGGTGCAACTTTAACAATCTTTCCCTTAACGTCTCTAAGTGCTCCGTAGTTAGTTATACTCGTCGTTCCGTAACTATAACTTCCAACTATGTCTTGAATAAAGCTAATCTTAACAGGGTTAGTTCTATTAAAGATTTGGGTGTTGTATTTGATGAAAAGTTGACGTTTAGACAGCACTATAACGCCGTGATTAGTAAAGCTAATTCAGTCTTAGGCTTCGTTAAGCGTTATACAAAGGAGTTTAATGATCCCTACGTTATAAAAACTTTGTTTGTGGCTTTGGTACGACCACATCTTGAATATGCAAGTCAGGTTTGGTCTCCTTCTTACCGGGACCACGTAAATAGATTGGAGGCAGTTCAAAAAAACTTTTTAAGGTATGCTCTTCGTAATTTTCATTGGGAAAACCCTATTATTCTCCCACCATACGGAGATCGGTTATTATTACTTCAAATGAAAACACTTGAAAGTAGAAGAATTGTTGCTGATATTTTGTTTATTGTGCAAGTGTTTATGAGCCGCATAAACTTTACATATGCTAAAAATATCATAGAAGCTCAATTAAATAGTGTCACTCGTTTTCGTAATAACAAAATTTTTAATCTTCCTTTTCACCGCACAAATTATGGGAAGAATGAACCTATTTCTCGAATGTTAGTTGCTGTTAATAAATACATTTCTCGTGAGGAGTTATCGCTAACGAAGACTCAACTTAAGAATACCCTCTTTGCAAAATTACATTAGTTGTACACTTTATGAGGTCACTAACTTTTATTATTATCATACATAATATTTATTGTACTCGAAAAATAAATTTAATAATTTTCTGACCTACATTAATAACAACTAACTTTTGCTGACTTTGCAATCTTTTGTTGTAAATGTTTTCATAATTTAAAAAATTTTTTTTTTAAGTCGAACTTTTTGCTAGCTAGGCAACTTTTGTTCAGGTATTTTTAAGTAGTATTAATTTTAAGTTAAAGTTTAATAATAACAATAAAAATTATCATATAGGTTAAATTGTATAATGTAATTTGTAAATTGTAAAATGTTTGAGCTAAACATAAATAAATAAAAAATAAAATAAGTTATGCAGATTATATAAGTGTGTTCACATTTAATACTCATTTTTAGTTTAGAATTTAAATTAAAATTTATTGTATAGATTAATATGAAGAAATTTGTTAATATTTTAGAAATGGCTTAGCTGAGCTTTTACACTAAATTCGAATTACAAACTATATTTTCAACTTTATTGGTTTTTTTTTCATATTAGTGTTTTCGGTCATAAGAAATTCTTGTCCAAAAATTACCTGATTTTAAAAAGCTCTTGTAAAATCAAAGATTAGTCTTGGTCGTTTTAAATTCTTAGATTCGATTAAAAAGTTATGCTAGCTTTTGAAATATGATCAATATTTAAGAAATTAAATAAATAATATGAGCGCATGCATGTTGATTTCAATTCAAAATTTTTGGTAGTTCCGTGTAGTCGTTAATGAATTTTTAAAATGTTTTAATGCAAAAAATAATATTATTTTATAGATCTTGTCAGCAACTTTCACAAATTATAATATAACCAGTTCTTAATTGAATTTACAGACTCTTTTCTTATGCATATCGTGTTTTGGTTGGACCTTTAACACCTAAACTTTGTGATACTCTCTGTTTCAAAATTTTGTTACATATTTTCAAACCTGTTATTTCACATAGTATTTCAATTCAATCAAACGACCATCCATTTAAAGTTTTAAACGTGATTTAGATTAGTGAGACGAATGACTCAAAGTAGATTTTTATTCTTTTGTTTCTTAACTACAAAGCCATAAAATAACTTAAGGGATATTGTTTTTCTGCAACTTTAGCAACTTTCTTTTTAACAATCTCTGAACATCTAAAATGTAGAAGTACGTTAGCAAAAAAAAAAGATTGGATTTCAAAAAACAGTATAAAGTTAAGCAAATTTTTTGCCTATTTTTCATATTTTTTCTGATCCAACTGGAAAACAAAACAAAAAAAAAATATTGCAATCAGAAGGAAACAAAGTTGAAAAAGTTTGTTAAAAAATAACATTAAATTTACCTGTGTATTTTGTTTAGAAATATTTAAAAATTTTTATATTATAAGACCCTTTCATTTTACAAGAAAAAATTCCATTTGTTTTTTAAAACGTGATAGCATACGTCAATAATTTAAATCTTAATTTCAAAATATTTTGACTTTATTTGATTGTGTAAATATGAAGAACTTTTTGTAGTAATCGAAAGCTTTTATGTTTATAATATATGATATTTGTGCTCAATGAACCTAATTCGAACTAAGAAATAAAATGCAGCCCGGTTGAGAACACTTAATTGTAGATTAACCAAATTAAAAATTATGATACGTAAATTATGTACTTATGACACAACTATAAATAAAAACTTTTTTATTTCTTCTGTCACAATTTAAATTACTACATATTTTTTTATGATTTCGGCATATCCTAGAAGTATGCAAAAAATCTTATGATTTTATTCTAATCAATACTATCAGGGTTATTATTAATTATTAATAAGAAATTCACAAAAGGGGTGTTTACGTCATATTTTCAAGTACATAATTTCTTTTAAGTTTCTCTTCTTTTAGCTCTAATAGATTGAATGAAAATATTAAAATAGAATTTTTTGAGAAATATCATCAGAATGTTTTTGGGACTTAATTTAGTTTGTAGTTGGCAATTACTTATCTAACTACCAAATACAAGATTAAAAAATATAAAATAAAACATCTTATCATCAATTTAACATTATCTTTACAAATCCAACACAACACTGTTTTCAAATTCAATTTAATTATAATAATTTCAAATGATTAACAACAAATCAATTAATTTTTGAACACAAAAGAAATTTATTTTAATTTAATTTAAGTTTTCTGATCTGAAGTACAATTCAATTTTATGAAAACTGATTTGACCAGATATTCAGTAATTGAACGAAAGGCAATTCATTTTATTATTAAAATTCTATGAAATACTTTTCATAAGTATATACCCACGCATAAGTACATGCATACCACCATTTTAACGTCAATTAATTTCATCCATTGAAGTTAAATTTCATATTCATTCATATTCATGCAGTAAGTGGTAAAGAATGCTATAATAAAAAAAAAAGAAATCAATTTACCAAAAAAGAAAAGAAAGGACGAAAAAAAAACGCAAAATTAATCGCAAACTCTGAAATTAAAAAAAAAATAAGAGAATGAAACGTCTTATAGCATTTCGTCCTAATGAAATTCAAATATTTCTCCGTCTTTCCTTTTTATTTTTAATTTTCATTTATTCAAATATTAAACTTGAAAGCCTTTATTATTTATTAAAAAACAAGAAGAATGAAAAAAAAAATTAAATATGAATTGAAAATAAAATTATTTTTTCTACGAGAGTTTTTATATACACACAAAATATATTAGTCTTACATACTAGTGGTTTTGTTTACTAACCTATATTTAGAATAATTTACTTAAATATGCATGAATTGCAACATTTTGAAAATAATGTAATATGTAAATTTTGTCCGTCCGGTCAATTTATCCGTATAGGCGTTGAAATTTTGCTGTAAATGTGACTTTCGCTATAAACCGTAACATTGTATTGTTGTGACAACACATGCAATTTTTATGGTAAAAAATAAGACTCGAAGTCAGCTGTTTAAATTACAAGAGTTATAAAAGCTAATAAAAAAGCTAAGCAGAAAAACTGAAAAGTTTAAAGAAATTTTTCCAGATTTCTTAAAATTTTTAGCTCGACTTGCTTGAAATTACAAATTTCTTTTTAAGCACTTTCAAACAGATACACCGTCTGTCTGTTGTCAGACAATATATGTCTTTGAAACTCAATATACATCGGAAATTTTCAATTCTTTTGGCGAAATTTTTGTACATTTTTCTACTTCAATTAACAAAGTTTGGTGCATTAAAGCTTCTAGAGCAATTTTTGCTGCATTAGTTAATTCCCTTAATTAAATAATTATGTAAGTTTGTTATCCAATTAAATTATATTGGACATTAACTTGTTTCATATATTAAGAAACAAAGACAATAATATTATAAGGTAACAATGTATTGATTATATTAGAAATTTCCAGCAACATAGGGCAGGTTTAAGTCTTAAAATGCGAATTTTGGTAAAATTTTATTTAAATGGTCAATTGATAGAACAAATCAAAGTTTTACAATCAATAAGAAAATTTATTTTTAATTCACAATTTCTTAACATATTCTCGTATATTTAAAAGACAAATAACAATAATAATAATTGACTTTAAGAAAATATAAGGAAAAAAAAAATAATAAAACAATAAAAAAACAAGAAAATAGAATTGAAAAGAGTATAAAGGCGAACCAAAGTTAAAGGAAGAAAATGAGCAAAAAAAAATGAAAGAAAAAACATACAAAAGTTGAGTAGAAATTCTTCATCTTCTGTCGGTAAATACCCTTAAGAGATAAAAATTACAAAGGAATTTTACTAAAAATATGGAAAAAAAAATAAAATTAAATGAGAATAAAATAAAAAAAGGCAATATAATAATAAAAATATGAAATTAAAGAGAAGAACCAGATAAAATTATTAACGAAAAGAAAAATAAAAACGAAAAAACAAAGCAAAAAAAGAAGAAAGAACAGAAAGAGAGGAGTTGAGAAATAAAAGACAATTTAATAAATATATTAAATGTCAAAAGCATATGAAAATTACTTTTCGCATTTCTCCAATTCCACTTCCAACCTTTGTCCTCTTTTGTATGTGGTGTTTGTTCATATTTTCTTTGTAATTCTGAGCACACAACTATGTAGGAAATTCCTTTCTATTCTTTGGTCCTTGCAACAAAAAAATTTGTAAAGAAAAAACATAATAATTTTTTTATCTTTTTTGAAATTTTTGTTTTTATTTGTGATGATTTTCCATTTTAGTTTCATGAACATGAGAAAAATAAAAATGAATAAAACAAAAAAAACACAATAAAAAGGAAGAATCGCGTTCAATGCATAAACAGTTCAATTTCCGGTCTTTCGGTACCCACATTTCAAGTGAATATCAATAGACACACAACAATAAAACCAACAAACTATGGAAAGAATCAATACTTATCTTTTTCCATTTAGTTTCCTTTGCATGCAATTAGATTATTTCTATTTAATTTTTGCATTTGTTTTGTTTGACACATTGTTTGACACATACAGTAAAGTCTTATTAAAAACAACTATAAAATATAAACCCATAGCTGGATGCAAAATTTTTTTACAAGGGTCAACGATAACATCATTTTCAAAAATTTGTTTGATGATTGCTTTTTTAGTATCTTTAATGAGATTTATCTTTTAATTATTAACTAATTTTTACAATGACATTTCTGGTTATTCAATATGCTCATATATAAGGCACAATATGCAGTAGCGTATTTTTGATTCGATCACTTTGTTTATCTTGGATTCTCACACCCGTACGAATGTATGTTCGAAGGGTATACTAAATTTGCCTGACTATTTATGACGCTAAGAAATAATGGTCTTAGATATAGACTCAACTGTATTTTTTTGATCAGCGTTGAATTTATAGCAGATTTAACAATATCTGTCCGCCTGTCCGTCCGTCTGTTTAACTCAACGATGACTCAAAAACTCATTGTTTTCACTAGTTCGTCAAATCTTCACAAATGATATATTACAGTAAATGCCAGAATTCTATTAAGAATTTGATCATATCC